TATTTTAGGATTCTATATTGGAGGCTCAAAGCAAATGCATATAACCTGTCAAAAAAAAAAGACTTGAGAGGAAAACAAAAAGCTGGCATCATAAAACAGCAGGATCAGGGAGGCTCTTGGAAGTTAAAAGGTATCCTGCAAAAAGCTGAAGTTGTGTCTGAAAAAGGAAAACTAAAAAGAACATAAATTCTGGCAGTCTAAATGTAAAAGCACAATAACGTAGGCTGAAGAAAGAGTTTAGAAGCAGTTTGCTAAAGAAATAGAAAAGTATGCTATAAATCCTTCCTGAACACATCAAGAGCAAGAAGCTTGGAAGAGTCAGTGTGAGGAAAAGATGATGTCATCAGAAAAGATGATGCCATCACAAAAAATCCAAAGCTCTTTTTTTCTTCCCCCCCAAATCTCTGTTCACCTGGAAAATCTTGAAAACTCTAAAACCAGTGTCTTGTTTGTAAGGCCCTCAGAGAAGGCTTGACTTAATTTCAGGGTGTTAAGTGGAGATTACAGAGCAGATAAAATGAATAACAAGGTATCACTGGGCATGGATGGAATTCAGGCATTATTGACACTATTGAAAGTTAAATATGAATAATTTGACCTAATATGCTCAGTACGTAACCTTTGCTGGAAATTGCAGTGATTTTCAAAGGGCTGGAAGGTAACTAATAAGAAATCAGGCTTTTTAAATAAATCTGGTGGTGATTCAAGAAACCCCAGTCAATAAGTCTAATGTCCACATGGGTCATATTGGCTGAAGCTCTGGCAAAGAACAGAATTAGCAAGCACATGAATAAAAGTGACATGTTAAGGAAAAGTAAACATGACTTTTGTAAAATGAATCTGAGCCTCCTAAACCTGCTGGAATTCTTTGAAGGACTCAAAAGCATGTAAATAGCAGAGCTCCAGCTGAGAAATTTTCCCTGTGTTTCCAACTCACCCCAAGCATCCAGAAACCTCATGCATAGAAGGTCCCATCAAAGGCTCTTAAATAAACTAAACAGCCAGGGACTGCAGGTAAGGACCTCACAGAGTTAAATAAGAATTTAGTATGGGAAAAAGAAGATTATGCTGAAGGATGAGTTTTGACAGTAGATGATGATCATCAGGGGAGTCCCATGGGGATTAAGGTCCACGGTGCTCAATGTGTTCAGGAATGATTTGGGAAGTTGATGGAACAGTGAAGAAGATTTCTGATAAAAACTAAATTAATTAGGATAATAGCCACTACAAAAAACTTCAAGATCTTACAACACTGAGCAAGCCTCATGATGAAGTGGAAGATAAATTTCAGCCCTGACAACCATAATCTGGCTATCCACAAAAAGCAACACTAACTTTACACAGGGAGTGACGGGCTCTGAGCTAGTTTGCACAATTTAGGAAACGCATCTCAACGTTGTAACAGCTTGTTCTATGAATATATGACCCCATTGCTCAATAGCAGGCAAAAAAAAAAAAATTCCAAAGTTTAGCATAGTTTGGAGAGAAAAGCACAACCTGCCCCTGGGTGATTTATGGCGTCTCTGCTTCTCCAAAACCAAGCGCACTTCTGGTACCTTCACCTGAGACAAACTGTAACAGGCAAAAGAAAAGCTACGTGGCAGGATGACAAACATGGTAAGTACAAAACCTCTTTCATGTGAAAAACAAAGTTAGCACAAGAAGTTGAATAGGAAGGGATCGCTTGGCATTTGTCGTTCCCAATTGTGCCGAGCAGGCCAGGTGCCAGGAAGGGGGGACGGACACCATACAAGAGCTCTGTCTCGTGCCTCTTTGTTCAGCTGCTGAAGCCTTCTATTCTGTCAGACAACGATTTCAAGGGCTGTGGGAGAGCTGTGACAGCTACACTTCATACATAATCCCTGCATGTTTTCAGGAGAAAGAATATAAGGGGGGAAAGGAGGAATAAACGACTGCTGTACTTGCAGTACTTTCTGTGCCCGTTAATTCTAAGTCATCATTCATTAGAGGTCTCTACTTCTTTTCCCATCTGCCCTCCTCCTACCACATTTTCTGAATTAAAATTTAAAAAAAAAAAAAAATTAAAACCCCACAGTTAGGCAGCATTTATTAACATCCTCCTGTAGTGACCCAGCTGTTGTTTGCCAGCCTCTACAGCGATGTATTTTAACATCCTCCTCTCACCTTTCTACACTTCTTTCCCAGCTCCTTTGAGCACAGGGGGTTCAGGCTGTTAACTCAGCTCCTTCAGGGACAGCTCTACCTTTCAGTCACTTGTGCAGTGACTTGTACCAATTGGTCCCAGCCCTGATCACAGCCTTAAACTCCTGGCGAGCCATTAATAATACACAGCAATCAGTTTAATTGCAACCGGGTGTCTGGAATTTAGGAGCTGTACGCAGACTTCCTTCTATCCACAATATTATTGTCCCATTGTGCATTTTGGAGTTTAGCTCTCATTAAAAGTAATAGAGGGAAATAGTCTGTAGCAAACTGAATGTGTTTGTTTTCACAGTTCACCTCCTGCTCCTCTGCACTAAAACACTCTCGCTCAGTGACAAGACCACAGCTGTTGCCATCGTTTCCTTACCTGCAGAGTGCAATATTTAGCTGGAGGGACACTGAAGTTTTTCTGTTTGTTAGTTATCAGGTCAACAACTCTCACCTTATCACTTCAGTTTTCATTCTGTTGATAAAACCTGTCAGCCTTCCTTGAGTGGTTCCAGGCCCTCAGAAGAAATCACATTAAATTGGCACAACCAAGTAAATCTGGAAGGGATGTGCTCCTGGCTTACCAAAGGAAATGGGGGAGGGCTTGAATTTCTCTCCCTCTTCCTCCCTGCACAGCTCCAATGTCCAAGTGCTTGGAGCAGTGTTGAAATCCTCCCTACGGATTCAGCAGTTCAAGTCAGATCAGGTCTTTGAATATGGCCCAGAGGAGACGTCTGTGGAGCTGAAATTGATATGTTTAAGTGCAAGAGACAATAATCATTTCTTCGAGTATAAGCTAAAAATACCCAGAAAAAAGTGGAATTCATAATGGAGATTTTAAAGATCTGTGACACACCAGAGCCTGCACAAGGGTTTTAATGAGAGGGAAGCCAGTTTAATTGGTCAGTGCGAGCAGATGCTTTGCTGGGTGAGTGGGCTACGAGGTCTCACGTCCCTGGTTAATGCCAGGAGCATCAGCCCTGTCCTCAACATGGCTGTGACAAGCTCATGTCACAGCAGTGCAGTGTCAGAGCCAGGGAACCTCGGTAATCAACGTCTCCACAGTGTCAGATCACAGAGCCACAGGGAGAGAGCACTAAAAAGAGGAGGTAAAAGCCGAGAAAGGAACGTTCCTAAAGGTAATTGCAGACTGACCATCTCCTCTTGTCCTTTGCTTCATTATCACTCTGGGCACGAACCTGAACCGGCCCGGTAAGTTTTAACACTGCATTAACAGGGAGCTGCTGAGCACCAGGGCTCAGGCTCGCAGGCCTCCCCTGTGAAAACTCTTCTGGAGTGTGTCACCATCCTAGGAAAGCCAGGAATAACTTCCATGGCCCGTTCAATTACAGACACTCACACCCAGCTCCCTCTCCTCGTGGCACGGCTCATCAATCAGGGCTTCTGTCACCGTGTCTCTTCTCATCGCAGTCACCAGAAGGCTCTGAGCTCCCTCCCAATCCGTGTGACATTTACTGTCAGGGGCTGTCAACACCACAAGATTCTCCCAGGGCCTCCGAGTTCATCACAAAGCAACAAGATCTATCCCCCAAACGCACTCCCAGTTCCAGCTCTGGATTACAGTGACTGACTGAGGGGCTTTGCAGCACGCAGGGAAGAGTGAAACAGCAGCACGAGCTGCAGCTTATGCCCAAATACCTTTGTTTTCTTATTCTCTTGTTCGAAAAATACAACTGCTTTAAGAGAGGTTTCAGGCTTATGATTAATTAGGCTTCCTCAACACCATCCCTTATAAACTTATTAAGAGAAAGCTGAGATTGTTTACTTGGAAATTTAGCCTTCCCATCTTTAGCATTGATCCTGCCTTCACTCTCTGCTTAACAATACAG